TGCTAAGAAGCTTTTTTTCTTGTACACCGAGGCTGTTTCCTAATCCCCCTCCCAAGACCACCACTTCCACCACCACCAGTGCTGCGCCTGCTTCTACCACTGACAGTGGCACATCAGCACGGGAGTTGTTGCCATTGCTAATGCTACCCATTGTTCCTAGTCCTATTATTCCTGGAGGTAATATCAGTCTTACCCCCAGCCTCGCATGGATTGCATTTAGTCTGGCTGATGAAGAGCTTGACTTAAGCGTGAGAGTGAGGAGGAGATAGTAGAGGAAAGTCAGAATTCTCCAGGGAGCAGTTCACCTTTTTCTCCTGCTACTAGTGCACAGTTTCCCCTTCCTCTCCACTTTCTCCAATAGTAGCACTTGCTAGTGCTACTTCAACCATTAGTAGACCACCACCACAATCAATTACCACAACTATTTCCAGATCCACTGTTCCTCCTCGCAGTGGCACAGTTACCACCACCAGTGTAACTGTGCCAACAATCATCACCACCACTGGAACTACTAGCCACAGTACCAGTGCAGAAGCTACTGTGCCAGCTCCCAGTGGTCTTACTCCTGCTGCTGCTCATCAACCTGCACCATTAGCAGCAGAATCCTGAAGGGCAGACGCCAATGTGTTGCACCGCAGCAAAGTTTGGGATCACTTTGAAAGTGTTGGAGATGGGCGCTTTGCAAAGTGCAAAGTGCAATCTTTGTGGGAAGGAAGTTAGCAAGGGAGACTGGTGGGTCATCTCACCAGTGCTGGGATGAACCATCACCCAGCACAAGGCTGTGTTATTGAGGCAGAAAGCACTAGGGCAGGCTGCGAAAATCAGAATAATACCAATAATACCAAAAATATTCTGTCCTCCATCTCTCTGAGGGGCTCACAGCTTTAGAGTACACCATGGTGTGCACAGGCTGCTGTTCTGTTCTTGTCTGGACCACATAGTCACATACCTCTTCAAACAGTTATCCCGAACTGGTAAGAAATGAGGAGCCCCCACCACCACAAGAGAGCGAGCGCTTCCTGCACATTATGGAGCAACACCCTGAAATGAACCCAGCAGATACCCTCCACTGTTTGAAGACTGTTGGAATCAGTGGTCCATGAGCAGACCTCTCCTTGGTCTCATTCTCCTCAATGAGAGAAGTATTTCTCGGACTTACAGAGCAGCATTGTTAATAACCAGCCCCCCTCTGAGAAGCAACAAGCCATGCGTCTATGCTTTGAGAATTTGATGGTGGAGGGCATTGAAAGGAACTTGCTCACAAAAAAAAAATCGAGGTTCACACAGAATCTTTCTGCCTTCAGACGAGAAGTGAATGACTCTGCAGAGACTGCACTGAAAGGGTGAAACAGGTTCTGCGAGGGCGTTTTTGTAATAAATAATTTCCTCTTTGTTGTTTTTAAAGAAACAAACAATTTGCACTTTAACTATACAGAAGCAGTTAATGTGCACATTACCTAGGTAAAGTGCGGAACACGCTTGATTCCACACTTTAAAGGAGCAAATCAGTTAATCTGCAGATTAACTAGGTAATGTGCACATTAACTAATTTCTCACTTTAACTGTAATATATACATATGTGCATTAAACAATCATAATAATATTGTGTAAGAAGAGGCAATTCAGATAAATGTTAATTGTAAACTATCTGCAAATCAGTGTCTGAGGAAATGAAATATGATACTAGAGCAGACCAACTGGTGAAGGCATTCTCCTCTAGAGGATATGAAACAGAGGCGGTTATTGTATGTAAGGATAGAGCGAAGTTACTCTCAAGGAAAGCCCTCTTACAGCAGAGAACTAGGGACGATATTAAAGGTATCCCTTGTGTGATGACATACTCTACTCACTTTGGTGAGATTAAACATATCATCAATAAGAACTGGAAAATCTTGCAATCAGATCCTAAACTTTGTCTGTGTTTTAATGAGAGGCCTTTATTTTTTTTAAATTTTTTTTCTTTATTCAAGCGTCACAAGAGCCTAAGGGATCATTTAATGAAAAATGTCGATTTACAAGGGAGGATAGACACAATGGATACTTGGCTTTCAGCGATACCTGGTGTGTATTGTTGTGGGCACTGCATTAATTGCAAATGGAGTGATCACAGGGTATCACTTCACGCACCTGAGGACAGACAAGAAGTACCCAATTCGAGAATATTGCAACTGCCCATCCCAATTTGTGGTCTATATGCTTAAATGCCCGTGTGGGTTAGCATATGTGGGTGAAACCACACACACTTTCATCACAAGGATCAAGGAGCATAAAAGGGGAATACGGACTAATAAGATGCAATATCCGGTGGCTCTGCATTTTGCCTGAGAAAAAACAGGCAGTTTCCCAATTATGGTACATGATTTTACAGCTAGTCAAGCCCACCAAGAGGGGTGTTTCAAGAGTCACAATGTTAAAGCAGCATGAATTGTATTGGATATATGAATTGCAAACATTATATCCTAAGGGTCTTAATGAAGAGAAGGATTTGTCTCCATTTTTATAATTATGGTATCATATTAGACTCTGCCTGCGTATGGTCTGTATCTTTATTTGATTCCATTGTGTTATCTTTTATAGATTTATGCTATAGTGATCGCTTGGACAATGAAGTTGATGACGTTGGAGTAACTTTTGACATTGGGTGGAATGACTTATTCAAGTTATGTTCTACCGTTATATACTGATTAATGTGTTATGAATAAAAAAAGCTTGCTCATGTCTACTTCACAGTAATATATCTTGTATATATATGAGTCTGGTTTATTTATTACTATTGTTGACATAGCCAGATATACTCTGGAGATACATGTGTGGTTAGTATTTTTTTACAAATAGGGTATATATATTAATAATAAAAAGAGATGGTACCCATGACTAAGAGAGTGTAATGCCATTAATAGTCCTTTATGGGCATATAGACATTTATCTATGCCACTATGTTGTCACCTGTGTAAATACATGGATTATCCTTTTCAGAGATGTATTTTGTCATATGTTATAAGCTTGTGAGGTTCTTCTTATGTAATACCGACATTCACTTTGACATAATGGTTTAATTAAATCAGAGCTGGCTTTAAGCAATTTTCTGGTTACTTTACATTGTATAATAATGATTTGTACTTTCATAAGAACAATATTGTCTTTATGTAATATTCATGGTACTATGAACTTGTATTATGTGGCAGAGTAATCATGATGCATTATTGTATGCAATACTGCCATATTATTTGTATGAAATATGAAATGTTTTGTCCAAGTGTGATCAGGTTATAACACTGGGTGTTTTTTAATAAATTGATTTATTTTCTCATATCACTTTGGTGATTTGGTGTTTTTCTTTGGTATGTTTTGCTTTATTAGTGGGTGTTGGTGGTAAGTATATAATCACTGGTGTCACTATAGATATTTTTATATATTGTATTTATTTCTTTAGCCCTACATATTTATGTATTTATATTTTTTCAGGAGTGTTTATATTTGAATGGCATATTGTTAACTAGTAGTTATATAATGTTTGTGTATTTGTGACTACTAATTGGCTGGATTGCCCGTCCGTGTTATCACGGCAGTGGCTGAGTTGCGGATTGGTTTAATTACCCATCTCGGCAGTGGATCGTTCGTTATGAGTGTGCGGCTCATTTGGGAGCATATTGCACATGGGCGGATATAGTACGTTTGTGCACATGCGCGGCATATGTTGTAAGCCGCACGCAAGGCTGGTATATTGCCAATGAGAAAAATGGCGATAGTAGACGCCATTTAGGGCGCATGTGCAGCAACGATTTGCAGATAGTTTACAATTAACATTTATCCAAATTGCCTCTTCTTACACAATATTATTATGATGTTTTAATGTACAAATGTATATATTGTATATTATGTTATTCAATATATTCACTTGGGATATTGTACCAGCACCCGTGGTGATGTTATTTCCGGGGGTGGTGACAATTACTGATGGCCACCAGCTGTATGAGGGCTTTATAAGCAGACACATGGGAACAAGGATACAGGTACCATTGATAAAGGCAACCAGTTGGTGCCAAAACGTTGGGAGAGTTGGTGACTTGTGTTTGTGCCTTGGGTCTTGTAAGATTTTTTTGTATAGTACTATTATATTACTGTTTGCCTCCATTTCTGTTACTTTGTCTATTTTTGTTTTTTGTCTGATATTGTGATTTTTTTCTATTTAATAAAGTCGTATTGCACTTAATGATTGAAGTTGTTATAGTGTGCATTCTATATTATATATATATTTGGATATTTAAACACTTAAGGGAGTGTTTATATATTTTGCACCTTGCTGATGTAAATATAATTGTGTCTCTCCATGGGATTTTGTACTGTTGTAAACAGCCTCATTCAAAATGTTTGACACGGAGCGTACCTCAGTTATTACATTTTTGAAGAGTTATCGCTGATTCCCCCCATACTATATGGATCGTCTCATACAGCGCAGCCAACTGTGGAGGAAGTTGTGGCAACGGCATTTCTTCGTCCACTGATGTAACTGAACTAGGATCCACTGCTGTAAGGGTAATGGTGCCCACCTCCCTTTCCTTCTAATCTTACTACATGTATCGTGGTCAAGCCTCCCCAGGTAGATAATCTCTTGTTTCTTCTGCCTGACAAGAAGCTGATTGTTGCACTCAGCTTCCTGTCAGGCCAAGTAAAGGGTACAGAAGATCAAACACCCTCAGTCCACTCAGCCACAGAACATAAAGTAAACAGAAGGAGAGGAGCGATGTGCGCTCCCCCCCACCTCTGCTGGTCACCCAGACATTGAGCCCCCTGGCCATGTCTAGTTTGCCTATCGGTCGACCCGGCCCTGCCTGTTACATAAACTAGTATATCTGCAAAGAAAATGTGTACAGTTAGATGACAAAGCATATTTTACTTACACTCAGCAGTGGATCCCTGTTCCCGGACACCAGTGGCTGGCTGTTGGAGGTAAACCACAGTCGGATGTGGTGAAGAACGTTTTTGACAATTTGCAGATGGTCTGAAATACAGGTATGTGATAAATTAACTTCATATACAGTACAATCATATACGTGTGTGTGTGTATGTTTACAATATGTATATATTGTGGCGAAACCAGCCTCGCCACGTGTCCTTGGAGGGGGCTGCTTGCCCGCCTCTTGCCTTTGGACTATGGACCAGACTTTATGTGAATGTGTTAACCCAGATAGCTATGCCATGGAGCCCATTCGTGTAGTTAAAGACTTCGGCTCCATGGCAATTGAACTGTGTGAATAGGATCTGAGCGCTATTCGGTAGTTTTGTGCGCTCAGATCCCAGCTATCTGGGGATATGTGAAATGTCTGTGTGTTATGTGTAAAAGGTGACTTTATGTATTTTAAAGTGTTTTATGTCTTTTTGCAACCATGTGCTCAATGGAGTCTGCCTCTATCCCTGGATAATTGGATTACTTTCCCCCATTGTCTCCAGGATAGAGGGCTCTGTAAAACCTGTTTGAGCCAGATAGCCATGTGCCAGCCAGGGCCCAAAAGATACTTTTACTAACTTTTGAACCCCTGGTCGGATTCATGCCATTTTTTTATATGTTGTTCCCCTGAATGGATTGATTGTGAATATGTAATTTTATGTGAATGTGATGTATGGTTTTAAAGTTATGAAAGTTGGGTAGAAAGTATGTTTTAACCAATTTAAAATTGGTTAAACCAAATTAAAATGTGTAATTGAGTTTCCTCTCAGGATAAGGGGAGGGAATATGTGGGATGTAACTGATATGTGATTGGTTGTTTTATACCTCCCTGTGGGCGGTCCTGTATGTGAAAGACTGTAATAAAAACCAGGCTGGGTGTGCCAGCACAAGAGTTCCTGTTTTAACCCTCAAAGTGAAGTGTCGTCTCATTATTGGGGGAAGGATTTATTGTATGCTGTTCCAGTTTGACTGCTAGGTGTGTAAACCTATTCGCATGGTTTTTCCTATTCGGCTCTATACAACATTCATATGCTTGAGAGCATTCATATGCTCCTACGGTTTGGTGGTTTCGGTGTCTGTTGCAGTGCTTGGAGTCCTCAGGAAGCGCTAGGAGCATCCTTTAACGGAGGTACCCAGTCGGGGTGCCAGGTGATCCGTTACATATATATATATATATATATATATATGTATATATTTGTGGTCAGGGACAATAAACCGAGTTATATTAGTGGGTTAGTGGTGCACAAGTCAGTTGTGGTGTGCCGAAACCGACATTCGGGTAGGGCTGTAAAAAGAGAGTCCACCAATTTAAATGGCTTGATAGAGAGATAAAGAGTGGTGGGTGGGGTGAACCAGACAGTCTCAGCCCAGCGGGAGGGGTGACCTGTGTACTTATAGCAATATCCCCTCCCACAACTACAGGCTCCGCCCACTGGCTCCACCTTTCCATTTGTGGTCAGGGACAATAAACTGAGTTATGTTAGTGGTGCACAAATTGGTTGTGGTGTGCCGAAACCGACATTCAGGGAGGCCTGTAAAAAAAGGGCAAAAAGTTAATAGTTTAACACTTTAATACATGTCTACATTACACCATCAATACATTTTATCAGAATTTATAACCATACCTGAAAGAGAAAATTGGTTAGTGGGAGATACTCTATAACACAAAGATACTGGCTGACCTATGTTATGCCAAGTGGTAAAACAATTAAGCTAAATTGGTGACTTGGGAACCTAACTAGTTGCCAAGTGGTGATGAGAGGCTCTACCTATGATTTGGCCCGTTGGGTATGTTTGCCACAGAGCGTTGTGGCGGGGTGTTGGCCTCTCGGTGAGTATTAAAGAGATTCATAATAAGTTGGCTGTGACAGGTGAGGCCCTAACTGCTTTGCCAAGAGGGCAGAGATGTGAGGCAGTAACTATGATTTGGCCCGAGGGGCGAATACCTCCATAGTTGAGGATGGGAGTTGGCCTCGCAGGACAGCTATATAATGGCACAAGAAGCCAAAAACTACTTATGGCCACTGAGGGTACCCTAACAGCCAGTCCAAGCTAAAGATAAGTTCTGTAGAGCGAGTGGTTATTGTAAGAATGGAGGTAGTATTGTAAAGAGAGCCACTTACGTGGTGACTTGCAGAAGAATAAATGTGGCATGATAAGATATACCTCTGGCAGAAAAATGAAAGCTATGCTAGAAATTGATGGTAAGAATAGGTGAATGGAAAGTGGAGGACAAAAGAAAAATGTTTACCGAGATCTAAAATCAAAATCCAACCAGAGAGAGAGAGACCCAAGAACTTATTGTTCATAATTCAGAACTACGACACCAACACCAATGAAAATGCAACAGTTTGCCGGTAAGGTAGGTAAAAAAAGGGCAAGAAGCCCAGAACCCAAAATACTCTATTAATATCTGTTACCAAACTAACAAAGGAAATTGAACAGTATGATAAATGGCTCAGTTGACTATACCCCCCAATATGCAATGGTCAGCATAAAGCATACTTGGTGAGACTTTACTTAATGATATAGGTCATGAAAGAGTTGGCCAGAATAATTGAACAACAAGGCCCCTGTGAAATATATGTCAGGAGGTGAGGGTGTGGTTCCCAAATTATCAAGTTGAGGATAACCAGCCGCAAGTGGCATAGTAACAAAAAGGCATATTATAAAACATAACAGTGCAGACATGTGGAGTAACTGAAAATTAACAGTTTCATCAAAAGCCCCGACCCGATACCTGTTTGTACCGAATTTAGGCATGAGTTCCCTCTGCACATCCTTCCTCTAGATGGACCTGAAGTGTGTATGAGAAAGAACACCCTGAAAAACCCCAACCATCACATTAATCAAATCCCATAGCATACTGCAGGAAGTGAAATACCAGAACTAGCAAGTGCCTTAAGGTTGCGGTACTAAACAGTTAAAATAGTGACAGACCAAAGATGCCTGGATATGTTAAATGCATGGTGATAAGTACCAGATTCTCAGGTGTGTGCCGAGAGGGAAAAGACTTGTGTGGGCCTAACGAGGCAATGTGTAATATTGAAATGTAGTATGAAAGGTTGTATTTCTTTGACCCTTGTATATTAGAAAATTGACGTATGTAATTGCCAAAATAAGGGGCCGAAATTGACGTATGTAAGTGCCCAAATGAGGGGCCGGAATTGCCATAGTGCCCGTAGAGGGCCATGTGTAAACGTATGGAGTAAAGGCTTAGTGAGGGCCATGTGTAGAGGTATTGTAGTTGAAGGCAGAGTGCTCAATGTTATTCTTGAGCTGCTGGATGGAGAAATAGGGCTGTTTGAGGGGTATGGATGTATGGAACGAACAAAAGAAGGATAAGCATACCAAGGTGCAGGTGTTGTGAAATGGCCAATAGTGAATACCTAGTTTTTTGGTCCAGGATCCAGCTTCCAGTGGGCAGTACCAGTAAAGGTAGAATTATTAGGTAGGCTAGAATGATGGTAACATGGCCTGCAGTGGAGGCCGACTATAAGGCCCATGCCAAAGGATGACAAGTATACAATCAAAACAATAGATTATATGGTGTCTCAATGTAATTGACTTTAGACATAACATTGCTAATACTGCACAAGAACAAAGTGACAGTATGTGAAGTAAGGATACAATGTATAGAATAAGGGAATTAACATACCAAGGAGTTTTGCAGGCAGAATAAGGGTTGTATAGGCCTAGCGAGTATAAGTAGTGTAATAAAATGTTGTAAGAAAGAGGTTTATACTTATGACCCCCATGTAGCGAAAGGTACTTATGTATTTAGGTCATATTGGGCTGCCCACATATGATGGGAATGAAATGAAGGCCCAGTATGGCCGCGTGTGAAGGCCTTGGACTTGAAACAAGACCAATATAGCATTTACTCACAACCTTGCTATCTGTATGCAGTTTCAATATGAGATCTATGAAGGATATAATAAACTTGTCTACATAGATATAGGTGAACCGAAGTGCTTAATGTGAGGTCAAGATAGTGTACATAATGGAGGGATTACAACTACCCCGTGAGAATGGCCAAATTAAGGTCTTAAGGATAGATAGGTTGCCGATAACATGTAGTATATTGGGGTATTATGTAAGCCCTGTAAGACCGATGTAATGCAAATGAAATGTCTAAATGAGGTTTTGAATTAGGACATGGCATGTAGCCCACTGTGGGGCATATGACTGCACATTGTAAAGGCCTAGTGAAGGCCATGAGTAAGAAATTGTGTAGAATACCAGAAGGTGTCCCAATTTGTGTCCTGAGTTACAGGATGATCGTGCCGCTGTGTTGGGATTAATGCAGGTCAAGGTAGGATGTGAATCAGAGAATTGTTGTGGAGAAGTTGTATGTAGTCAAGACATGTTGGTGATGAGATGGTAGAGAACCTGATAGAGTTACTAATAATCATCTAATTTATGAAATGGTGAAACAAAATAGAACTTGTATGTAAACTATTATAAAACATCATATAATACATACCCACGGAGCCAAATAAAACAGGCAGACAGAATTAAGCAGGAACAGAGGCCTCTAGAATGCCACAGTGGCTGAACAGGTTAGCGGCCGTGAGAGCCGTACTTAAGCGATAGGAAGAGATAGGAGCTATAAGATATATAAAAAAAAAAAAAAAAACTACATGTGGAATGCTTAGGAAGATGGAAAATACTTATGCATACACAACAGGCATGGAAGATTAGGGTTGAAAGCAACAGCAAATGCTATAACAATAGTAGAATATCTCAGTAATATTAACATCAGCGAAAACTTGCTTAACTTGAACATGACTGAATGAGGTTTACATAATGCATATAGACCCCACAAATAAGACAGTAAAAGTAATCACAATACCCAAGCCGCCTGATATGGCCAAATAAGATTGACATGTGTTAGTGCAACCAATAAACGAGCAACCTAAGTGGTCCGAAATGCTAACAGTGTCTAAAATGTGGATGAGGTTGTACTGTATGAGGAAACCAGCGCGGTCAAATGCGGACTGAATTTATGGAAGGTGGAAAAAAAAATCGATGTGCTTGAGTGGTATAATGAGGCCATAGCAGACAAATCATAAAATGCAGTAATCAAATTAAAAAGCCCCTACTAGGCAGAGTAGGGCTTAACTGTAGGGCACGTTAAAATACTCGTAAAGTAGGCCTTAAGACTTACTTGTAAATTGCTTATGACTGGAGAAAACTAACTCAAAGGGGCACTCCAGAAAAGCACTTTAGCGTGCGATTGGACTGCCACAGAAATAACGGGCAGGGTTAGAAGGGGACAGCAGGCAGAAGCAGCAGAGATTGCATATAAAAAGTCTATATTTCTTCCCTCAAAAACATGTATAGGCCTGAGTTTGGACAATTGCAACACCTTGCCACAT